TGTCTCACTGAGGACATCTCTCAGTTTGACCAAAACAATTAGACGTCAGCATCAACTGAGCAGTATGTGTTTACCTACTGATTTAATTCAAAATATTTTCTAAGCCCCGAGTGATGTCTGAGATGCTGTAGGTATAACAATGAATAGAAATCAGCCCTTGGAAATCTTACAGAACACTCTGATACCCACAGAGGGGCCATCAGTTGGAATTGACTCATCTGGTTGATGTTTCTTGTTTAACAAAAGCAAACAGTATCAGGGAGTAGGCTGAGGCTGGGGTCAGGGACCCTTAACCTGTCTGGTTTTTAGTTTTTGCCTATATGACAAAAACCATAAGGCCCAGGTGTTTGTTTCCCCTTAATTGGTCTTTGCAAACTCTACTGGCCAATTGGCTCTTTTAACTTTTTTTTTTCCCCTTTTACTTGCTGAATGCTCCCGTACCCGTGCTGACCCCCAAACTCAAAAACATAAATAATTTGAACCTACAAGAATAGCTTTCAGAAAGAACAGAGCAATTTTTGAGGGACTGCAAGTAAGCAGCCAGTCTATCAGCACCAGATGTTTAAATAACCGGGCAACCTTTCAATGAGATGCTTTCTTAGAAACCACACATCATACAAAAGATCCCAGTTTCCCCCACCCCCACTGAAAAAAAAACAACGGTGTAAATTCCATCCCACAGAAATCAAATCCAAAAAATCTCAAGCTCTTTTATAGACTAGACGGCAAAGATCTAAATGCTTTAAGGAGTGGAGGAGAGGGGCAGGTAGAAGACACAGATTATCCCTTCAAAGCCTCGGAGTTTCACGAAAAGAAAATCTTTTCTCTGTTGCCTGGGGATCCTGGTAACTGAAATGGTGAAGAAACATGCTGTGGACATGGAAACATGTGCCGAATGAATCCACAACGGCAGGAAGAGGCTTATACATACCACCAACCCCAACTCTATCCCACCCCAGTGGACGTGCCAGTTATACTTGGAGCAAACACTAATCAAAGGGCCTCGCTCGTTCATCAGCATGCATGGCCAGGTAGGCTGCTCTGAGTCACTTCCCCTGGGGTGTAGAGGACTTGGAAATGGTCAGTGTGATGCATCCCATCTGGTCCATTTCAACTCTTAAATCGAGGTTCGTTCAGGACACTCTGCTACCTGGAATAAGAGCCACTTCCGATAAACCCTATTGTGTGGGAATTCCTTCCCACCTTCCTGCCCTGGAAGCAACTCACGCTTCTTAGATTAATTTAAATTTACATTCACTTTAGGACAAGTGATTACAAACCAAACCCAACTCACTGCCATCGAGTCGATTTCCAACCTTACAGGACAGGGTAGAACTGCCCCTGAGATTCTAACTCTTTATGAGAGTTCAAAGCCTCACCACCACCACCCTGGTACCCCAGGAGCATGCTGATGATTTCAAACTGCTGACCTTGTGGTTCAAAGCCCAACAGGTGACCCACTTAGTCTTTGTTCATATGATAAAATCATAAGGCCCAGGTTTGGGTTTGGGTTTCCTCTAACTGGTCTTGGCAGACTCTCCAGACAACCGTGCTGGGGCAATGGGTCCACAGACCAGCAGTTCAAGAGAACCAGTCACTCTGTAGGAAAAACATGGGCTTTCTGCTCTCACAAAGCTCAACTCACTGCCATCCAGCCAATGGAAGCCCACAGCGGCAGTTCTCGCGGGCCTATAAGGGCTGCTGTGATCAGCCTGCCTCGGTAGCAGGGAGGGAGTGTAATTTTCGGCTACTAGTCACATTTTACCTAGCCTTTATTTCATTGTTAAAATCCCACGTAAAAGTAAAGTGTCAGTTATGAAAACCCAACGTTTGTTCCAATTTAAAAATCAAACCAAAAAACATTTGCGTTTACTTACTGCGATTTTCCCAAGATCTATGCCGTAATTCAGGGAACTCCATGAACACTGCTTATAATTGGGCGTCCAGGACTCCTCAAACGTTTCCCGAAGGCATTCCCCCTTTTCGCCTTTGAATCCATCCCGGCCTGGGATTCCTGGGGTGCCAGGAATGCCATTGGCCCCAGGGTTCCCATCGCGACCAGGCACCCCTGCAGGCCCTTGTAAGCACATTCCATTATACTGCAGGGAGAAAGCATTAGCGTAAGATTTCGATTAGTTTAAGAGTAAGATTAGATATGCATTCATTCCCATCTCTTGGGGCCAAGCATCCTTAATTCTGCTTGTCTATGTTATTCTGTCTATGAGCTATTGACCATTCACGTAAAACCTATTAAAATATTATGAGATGTCTTGCCTGTATATTTTTTTATTATGCCAATTTAACACACAGACACACATTAAAAAACAAAGCAAATCAAACTTGTTGCTATTGAGTCAAATTCGACTCCTAGTGGCCCCATAGGACAAAGTTGAACTGCCCCATAGGGTTTCCAAGTCATGATCTTTATAGAGATCGAGGGCCACATCTTTTCCCGGCAGAGCAGCTAAAATCTTTCTGCTAGTAGCCGAGCGCTTTAACCACTTCACCACCAGGGCTCCTGCACACCATGAAAATAAGAGGGCACAATGTTCCCCTTGCTTGGCTCCTTTTTATTGCAACGTATCATTTTAAAACAACGGCGGTTCCACACTGAGTAGAATTTGATGTTCTGCTTTTAACACTTACCACTGGAGTTTATCAAAAGGCTTGGCTCTCATCATTAGGTAGGTATGGCTTCATTAATTTGTTAAAGATTAATCCCTAAGTATAGAATGCTAAAATCTCAGTGGCCAATAGTTTCGCGCGGTGCTCTTGGGGCGACTGTGACTCAAAGTGTAACTGTGGAACTGTTGATCTCCCTCCCCCGGAGCCACGGGTGGAGTTCAAACTACCAGCTTTCCCACTGCACCCACAGGCTCCTGCGCCTACACATGTCCCTGCAGACCCTCTGAAGAAATGGTGTGGAGGCCACGTCTGAGCTCCCTCGGCTTCACAGCGAGAAGATGCTTCCAGCTTCCCCTCAACCGAAACACCAACTGCCACAAGGCAGAGGTTACACCTGCCTTCACCCTCACTCTGCCAATGGCCTGTTCTGATGGCAACCATCTTGGTTTACTAATTTGTTGCCATGGCCACCCAGAACTCACAGACAATACTCACAATTATAAAGGTTTCTTATAAGGAAAGTCAACAGGTTACAAAATGGGAAGAATACAGTCTCTCTTTGGTCCTCCGTCTGCCTGGTGGTCCTTTGGCCTCCATCCTGTTCCGGCAAGTGTGACAAAGCTCCTCAAGTGCTGGTAAATGTCCGAAAGGGCATCTCACTCTGCAAGCCAGCCTTCTGCCTGGAGGCACTCACCTTGACCCATTCTGGGGCGCTGGGAGCCCACCACTCTGTCTCATGGTCTTGGTGCTGCGGCCGCTGGTGCCTCTGTGGCCTCCACCACTTCAGGGAGGTATTTTGCATGTGGTGACTCTTCCTTCTTGATGGCTTTGGGATTCCTCTGTTCGTAGATGGCTCATTCTGTACCCAGGGGAAACTAACCGATCCCCGAGCTAGAGCCTTCTATACTTTACTTGCATGTTTCCATCCAGCCCTTTGGCAAGAGTAACAAAACTATGGATAGAAGAGCCAAACCAAGTAATTTATTTTCCCACAACCTCACTATTTTTATACAGAGGACATGTCACCAGGGCAGCACTCCTGGTCTCTAATCCCACACCTCCTCCCTGAGGAGTAAGTGACCTGGAGGTAGGTGTCCGTTGGTTCTCAATAGGAGGGCAAACTTCCATGAAAAGCTTTTAAGTACCGAAGAAAATTAAGTCTAAGGTGCTACAATTCTGTTTTCTTTGCTTGGGTGTGGTATAGTGCAGCAGTTAAAAGCTACTGAAGCTCTCTGGATTTAAATCCTGGGTCTGTTACTTTATAAGCTATATGAGATAAGTATCAAGGATTAAATTGAGCCACTCCCGCCCCCCACCGCCAAGAATATGTGCCAACTTAGCTAGGTAATGATTTTCAGGGTGTGGCAGTTATGTAATGATGTAGTAGCTTAGCAGTTATGTAGTGATGTAATTTGGGAGTTACGTAATGGTGTAATCATCCTCAAGATGTAATGTGAGTATCCTCCATTTTAAGGAATCCTGGTGGTGTTATAAGTATTGGGCTGCTAGCCACAAGGTTGGTGGTTCAAACACACCAGCTACTCCTTGTGAGAAAAATGAGGCTATCTACTCTCCTAAAGATTTATAGTCTCAAAACCTTATATCAAGGTTGCTATAAGTTGAACTTGATAGATGGCGGTGGGTTTGGTTTGGTTCAGTTTGGGTGATATATTAATAAGATAAGATTATCTTATGCTAATGAGGACTGGGTTGTTTTTTATGTTAATGAGGCAAGTTTAAGGTGGACACAACAGCTTTACTCAGGTAGGGGAACTTCCCCAGGGTTGTAGTAGAATCACCTTTTATTTTATTTTAAAAGGAGAGAGAAGCAACCAGGGAGAGGTACCTACTATTACCAAGAAAGAGCCAGGAGCGGAGTGGGTCTTTTGGACCTGGGCTTCCTATGCTGAGAACCCAGGGAAGATTGATAACAAGATGCAGGGGAGTCAGGAAGGGACAGCAGGCCCACAGATGTTGAAAGGAGACAAGGACGTACCCCTAGAGCCGACAAAGCGAGAACGCTGTCCTGAGTGCTGGCGCCCTCCACCTGGGCTCCAAGCTGCCGGCACTCTGAGAGGACAAGTTTCTCTCACAGAGAGGTGTGGTTGTGCCGTCTAGAGGTGGCATTTCTGTGCGGCACCACTAGATACGCAAGACAGCCAGCGACTCACACTGCCAGTGCCGCAGCTCTCCTAGCTATAAAATGGGGATAATACAGGAACTGAACCCTGGGGCTTATTATGAGATCTCAGTGTAATAACAAATAAAAATGCGCTTAGCACACGATAAGCACCACATATGCTAGCTATTCTTATTCTCATTCCTTCAGGATCAGTGAGAGCCGGTAATCCTGGACATGTGTGTCCAGCCTCTTGTTGGACTTGACCTAGGGGTACCATGGTTAAGCCCTGGGATGCTAACAGACAGGTCTGAGATTCAGACCCACTCAGCAACACTGGCAATCCGCTTCTGTCAAGATTAAAGACTCAAAAACAAGACACTGCCATCAGGTTGATGCTGACTCATAGCACGACCCCATAGGACAGGGCAGTTTCCGAGACTGTAACTGTTAATGGGAGAAGATAGCCAGTGTTTCTCCCTTGGAGCGGCTGGTGGTTCCCAACCTCAGACTTTGAAGTTAGCAGCCCAATTTGTAAGCCCTCCGCCACCAGAGCTTCTCCTGTAAAGATTACGGCAGTTTGACTGTGTCACGGGCACTGTAGGTCGGAATTGACTCGATGGCACAAGCAAGACTTGGGACAGAGAGCTTTAGCAAACCTGCTGCTTACCCACACAAGTCTCATATACCAATGCCATTGAATCAGTGATAAAGGTGGCATTTCAATCGCTACCTGCCCTATTCTCACATCAGAATCAACTTGATGACAGCAAAGTAGGTTCAGTTGGAAAACTCTTCATGTATCAGAGACTTCAAACTCCAACACAACCCGCTTCTATGCTTTATTTTAGCCAGTGACCTAAGTGTGGATTGTTTAATACCATCATTCTGCACAAATATATTGTCCAATGAGAGCAAAGAGTAAAGTTCTTCATTTATTAAAATTATTTAAAGCTAATTGTGGTAGTTACATAACCTGTTGTCAACTTGAGACTATTAAGAATGAAGGGATGAGCCTGTCAATCAGGCCATAGTTTGTTGACCTCATTTGGAAGCGCTAAGGAGAAAAGTAGCCCCCTGGAGGTAGGGCACACACTCACTCGCTGCAAGACGTTCCTGTTGACAGGTCACATGGAGCTATGCTGATGGCAGCCAGAACCTAGGAGCTGGAGAAGCCATGTGGAGACCCACACCAGCGCTAAGATGCTGCCACCACCACTGGATCCACAAGACTTTCCATCCACTGGCCTGTGATCTTCCTGCACTCGGTGTCATTGCATGTGTTGTGTGAGTCTGAAGAGGAATTTACAGACTGGCACTGGACATATAAGCTAATATCAGACTTATGGATTTGATCTGGACTGGGCTGGAATGTTTTCTTAATGTACAATTATTCTTTATATAAAGCTCTTTTCTATATACACATGAGTGTCTATGAGTTTGTTTCTCTAGTCTACCCAGAATAACATACTAATCTTTTGGCTTCACTCTCTGGGATAGGAAATAGTTAAATAATAAAACCCATATAATGAGCATGGCTAGAAAGAGTTTTCATGTATCTAGACTAATGTCAGCCACCCAGTTTTCTTCTCACCTCACCAGTTTGATCTTTGTTTGGATCATTTTTCTTGGCCATTGTCATGTCCCCTTTTGTTGTGTGAAAAGGACACTATGATTGGCTATAAATCAGCAGTTCTCAACCTGTGGGTCGTAATCCCTTTGGGGGTCGAACGACCCTTTCACAGGGGTTGCCCAATTCATAACAGTAGCAAAATGACAGTGATGAAGTAGCAATGACAATAATTTTATGGTTGGGGTTCACCACAACATGAGGAACTGTATCAAAGGGTCATGGCACTAGAAAGGTTGAGATCCCCTGTTATAATGAGTAATAAGAAAAATAGTAAGAAAATTATTTAATATTTATAAAAGTATATGAAGGCATGTCAAAGTAAACAACAACAACAACATTCCAAGAGTCTAGCTTTAGCTCAGATTAACTTTCATTTCAGTGATTTCATGCACCTTTCATTAGCTCTATGCAACGTGTGCACACCCTCCTATGTAACAAGGGGGAAGAGAGAAACAAGGTTTCTGATGGACTTTTTTCCCTTCTTATGATTCCCCTGAGTAACAGGCTACACAAACTTAGTTTGATTTTCCTATATGTCAGTGGTTCTGAACCTGAGACAATTTGCCCCCTAATCCTACCCCAGGGCATGTGGCAATGTCTGGAGACACTGCAGTTGTCCCAAGTGGGCAGGACTGCTGCTGGCATCTAGTGAGGAGAAGCCCAGGGTGATGCTAAGTGTGCCACACAGAGGACCCTCTACCACAAAGAGGTTTTCTGGCCCAAAGCTTCAACCCAGATTTAGAAACACTGAATTTTTCATTGATCCTCTCATCCAAAAAGTGCATTTCGAGCACTATGCAATATTATTGGGTTCGATTCTGTCTTCTTTCATGTCTAAATGTTAACCCAGCACATGCCTCGTACCCAGTGGGGTTCGATAAATGTCTGTAAACCGACAAAAACAAACTGAAGTTCCAATTCGTCTATCCTCCTGCTGATACTCAGCACTGTTCTTCTCCCTGGCCGCCAGGGGGCAGAGCTTGCTGAAAGCATGAAAGGGCCGCTTTGAAGGATCTGTACAAAGAAGCTGTTTGACAGGATCTGTTGAAACTTTTTAAATGACCATGTGAGCTTTTCCTTTCAGCAAAACCAAATCCAATCTGCAGGCTGTACCTGCGCCTGGCTGCACAGTCTGATTTTCCAAGTGAGGCGCGAGTTGTGGGAAGCTACAATATGGAAATCCTTGAAGGGGCAGAAAAGAAGGGCTAGCCTTGGAGGGAGGTGGGGAGAGGGGCAAGAGGGTAGTTGTGTCTCCTAACTGCAGACTCGTAATCATGCCAGCTGCACACAAAACACACTTATTTCTTAAAACTTTGAACATTTAAAATAGAACTACGGCCTTGCCTACAGAGCCGTCTTTTGTGAAGACAAACGACACAGCATATCACCCCAAAGTGCTTAGCGAACTAGGAAAGTTTCCAGCGTTTTTGAATCCAGTTTTGAGCGAGCTGCCAGGGACCTTGGTTTATTAGTTCAGTTTAGAATGGCTTCTGGGCGAATTTGACACTTTTTTTTTTTAATAAAAAAATGCCTCGATGCTAAGGAGCCTTCATGGCAAAGCGGTTACAGGTTGAGATGCTAACTGCAAGGTTAGTAGTTGGAAACCACAAGGTGCTCCGCGGGAGAAGGAAGAGGTGTCTGCTCTGGTAGAGAGTTAGAGTTGCAGACCCTCACGGGGACAGTCCACCCCTTTCCTAAAGGGTTGCTATGAAATGGCAGTGAGGGCTTGTTTGTTTGTTTTTAATCTTCCTGATGCAAGGCCTGTAACCCATTATTTGTTTGCCAGCAAGGCTGGTCAAAGGGCTGCTTTGTGTCTAGGAATATGGGAGTTAGGAAAGGATGGCTTTCCCAGGTCTGCCCTCCAATGCTCTGTAGACTTCTAGAGGGCAAGAGCTAGAAGCAAGCAGGCTTATACTCTACTGCCAAGGAATAGATGGCAACTCATAGTGGCCCCGTGCAGCAGAGCAGAAGCATTTCTGCGTGTTTCTGAGACTGGGAATCCTTCCAGGAGCAAGCAGTCTCATGGTCCTCTCTCAGAGAGGCTGGTGGGTTTGAACCACCCAACATTTCACCCACACTGCCACCAGGGCTCATAGAGCCACCACTCTGACAGCACTGGGGCTATTCCTTCCGGAAGCCTCCTTCTCCCTGAACTAGACTTGGATGTCACTACCTTGTGGCCACAGGGTCACCGTTTAGCAGCATCCATTATCTGGACTAAACAGAACAAATGACATGGGTCACTGGAGGGTTAGCGTGGGACCCTTCATTTCTCCTGGCGGCTTGCAAGCCTGTGAGCCATTCCCGGCCCAGCTGCGGTCGTCCGGCTAAGGAAATTGCAGCCC